GGCGTGGGTGACACAGCAGCGTGAGGAGTCCCCTTCTGCGTGGGTGGTTTGGCGGCGGTGGCGGTTGTTTATCACCAGAGCGAGGTGCGGGCTGTCCAGCTGCCCCAACCGGTATTTTAAAATTGCGGTGAGGTTTCATTGCGTGAAACGCGTTTAGTTTGCAAGTTCTCTCCTACCCCCAGCGAGCGCATCTTCAGCTGCGCCCTTCGCCCCACAGCCGAAAATGGCCGGCTGGCCTCAGTCCTCCCAAAGGGCGGGAGAGATTTCCTACAGGTGGGAGGCAAAAGGGAACATGCCCCCAGGGCTGGGGGCATCTCTGCAGCCAGAGCCACTGGGCTTTTTTCACCACTTGTTCTGTAAGTAAGTTGAAATCAGTTTGTTAATCGGTAACTGAGACGTGCGTGTTGAATTTTGATTTGGGTCTGAAGCATACTTTTAAGCGGACCATTCTTACTTGTTGTGTTCTTGTTGACCTCGCAGAGCAGCCCCAAAGCTCACCAGCAGGTTTCCTTCCACAGGGAACTAAAGCAAAGAAGCGCTCGAGCACTGCTCTCCTGCTGCTCAGGGATGCCCAAGCCACAGGGTTTATCCAAATCAAAACCCTCTAAGATGCCCCCAGTGTGAGGGTCACGTCCTCAGTGCCAAATGCTCTGCTTTGTGCTCTCACTCCTATAGCCTGGCCCACATCGCAGATGGAGATATTGCTGAAGAGCATTATAAAAGGTACCGAGCTGTCCGTCCTGAAGGCAGAAATCTGCCTTGTAGACAGCACTGGGAATGGCAAGGAATGTTTTCCCTTGTTGCTGTGCTGTTCTTGGGCAGCCCGCTCGCATGGTGGGGAGCATTCATGCCTCTGCATTCCTGAGTTTGGTACTAGGAATGCAAACAACTGCCATCCCCGAGCTGCTTTGTGCTGCGAATGTTTGTCTGCTGGGAACCCAGAGCCAGATGTGCTTCACATAGTTTCCAGGCAGCACTGATCCGTCAGATGACAGTAGCTATTGAGTGCTCTTATGGTGGCCCAGAGACACAAAGATGAAAGCCTGATGCCTGTCAGCACCTCCCTTGCCATTCCTGTGTCCCTTCAGTTTTCACTTGAGTCTCCTCACAAAAGCAAATGCCACAGAACATGATGTTGCAATGTTAATGACCTTTATTTTAGAGAAAGAAAATACTAAGTTTTATAATGTTGAACTGTCAGGCATATTTGGGATCCTTTGAACTTTGTTGTCAAATGCTTTCCTGCTCCCGCTCCCACTGCCTATGCAGCTGTTTGGAACCTCAGCTGGGAACCCACCTTCCTCTTCAGAAGCTTTTTCCACAGCATCCCCTGGATGGATTTTACTAGGGAAGATGAACAGTACTTGAATGCCCTCTTAAACAAAGGTATTTTTATGGACTAAACTATATCTGATGAACCGTTAAAGGGAAAACACTATAAATAGACCTGGAATAATTGCTTCGAGAGTGGCTTGTGTTGTTTCCCAGCTGCTCTGACTTTAAACAGCCTCTTACCCCCAACTCAGGGGCTCCACCAATTGTAAAAGCAAGAACTAACCAGTGCCAGATTCAAGTCTCAAAATACAAACCATTTTAGATACGGGAAGCAAAGGGGTGGGGGGCTGATTCATAAGAAAACTTCTAAGCATTATTGTAGCATAAATAATATGCCATCTTTCACCTCAAATAGCCTAACACTTCATAAAGTGATATGAGCTTCACTAGTTGCTGAAACACAGCTATTTCTGAAGTGGAACCTGATATCTTTTTTTTTTTTTTTTCTTCTTTTTACCAGCAGAGAGCAATGTTTTAAGGTGGAGAGTGAAGGATACAATATACAACCAATCGTACATATAATCTAGGAGGGCTTTGCAAAATGGAAAAATCAGGTAAAATCTACTTTTAGTAATAACACTCATATGGTGTATCATAAACTTGTGTCCTTAGTTTACAAATGCAATTCATTTAAAAGAGATAATAGGAAACTCAAATAACATTTTGTCTTCTCTCTTCCAGCAATACTCTCTTACAACTCTTTAGTAGGACATCCTCTGGTTCCTTTCCTCTCTTTATTTAATTTAATGTCCAAGTCCCGGAGCTGGTTGAGGAACCCTGAATTTGGGCAGATGTCTCTGTGAGCGCTCACTGTTTTCAGAGCATCCACGAGTGTCATGTTTTCATGGATCATTAAAAAGGCGAGCACTAGGGACGCAGAGCGGCTCACCCCCATGGCACAATGAACAAACACCTTACCTGCAAAAGAAGAGGCACAGCAAGGTGAGTGGGCTTCAGCACTTCTAAAGCAAGAGGGACACAGGGAGGACAAAAACTACTAGAAACAAGTTGGGAAAACAACAGTGACGATTAGCGGATACTCATGTTTTCGTGGACAGTTAGCATAAGATCGTGCCATGTATTTCAGGCAAGGTGGCATTTCATACTGACCTCATGCATCTAACTGAGGCCTCAGATTAAAATAGTTCAAATTTTCTGTGGAAGGAGCAGCTTTCTGTGACTAAACTTATTAGTATAGTTTTCTGTGGAAAAAGACCAACACGGTTTTGGCAGAAAATTTTGGCCCAGCCCTGACTGATCACTGACAAGTCCCATAAACTCTGTAGGATAGTCTGCCTGTAAAAATGGACTCATAATTTACTGTATCTCAGCAGCCCAGTGTGAGCTATAACTGGGGATTTAATAAAGCACTCTAGTGAAAGCAGCAGATCTCGCAGCCAGTCAGAGTCGGAGCAAACTCTGGAACAAATGGAAATTATGATAACTAGGCCATAATCCAAACGCTGCTGACAAAAATTCGGCAGGCTGCGGGTCAGGCTCGTAGTTTTTGACTTAGTTCATTAACTTCTGCTGCTCTTCTAGCTTAATAGACAGCCTGAATAAAGCTCCAATTCTGCGAAGCGCTTAAGCATGTGAAGCATTTAAGGCAGCGCTGCAGTGCCGGTGCTCCAAGCTGAGTGCATCATCGCAGGGCTGTGGTACCCGGGGCAGGGTCGCTGGGCTGCAGCCCCCACCGGGTGCAAGGTGTGCATTGGAGGCATTTGGATCCTGCCAATTCCCGCAGGATAGACCTGTAGGGGAGCACCTGCAGTGCCATAACCTCTGCCCTTCCCTCTCGCTCTGCTCTGAGAGTTGGTCTTTCCTCCCACCGCGCTGGGTTTGGGGCAGTCAGCCCTCCCCAGCTGCTGGGGACTTGGCCATGGCCACCTTCCCTGCAGCTCATGGCATAGGCGCCCTTCTCCAGTCCTCTGCGCAGCAGTTCTGCATGTGCCTTCTCAAACCGTATGCGGAATCTGAGCTTTGCTGGCTGCCTATTACTCCAAGGAGAAGCCATTTGGCTCACACTGAAACTTCCTCCCAAAGCATCTCTTTGCCTCCCTCTTACCTCCCGAAGTGTTTAAGGCTTTGCCTATGAAATTGGCAGCATCGTAGAAGAAGATACTTAAATCAAAGGAAGGATCATCAAATGCTTCTACTCCGTAGTACTCTATTTGCAGATCTTTGTAATATTTGGCTCCTGTGTTGATGCTATATGGCCCATCTGCTGCATTAAGGATATGAGTAATGTTGAGGCTTTGAAGAGTAGTTTTGCTCCTAGCAGCCCACCTGTTGAAAGACATGAAGGGCTTATTGGCAACACTCCTAACGTTCTGCTAAAATATCATGGTTTAAAGTTAGTGCCTGCTCCCGCTAAGGAAGGATGCAGGAACTGCAGCTTGCTTAGAGAGTAGCAAATTTCAAGAAGCCCATAGTGCTTTGCACACAAAAAAATGTGATATGGGGTTGTGGAGAGCAGCAAGAGCGCAGACTTGCTGGTGGGATACTGTTAGTTAGGCAAATGCCTCCCAGCAGTTAAGCCCTGGGAACATGGCTTACTGCATAAAGTGGTCAAAATTTTCCTTTAAATAGTTGTTTAGCAAGTTCTAGAGCTAACCTCTCATTCCTAGTGTGCATGGGTCACAACGGCGAGAACCCACACAGATGCAGCAGCACCTTGTTCCTGGTTTGGACATGAAGCGGCTGCATCACGCTCACCAGCCAGGTTCAACCCCTTTCCCACCATAAACTGGGACTGAAGTTATTCCACAAAACTGTGATCCTTAACTGATGTAGTCATGAGGAGGAGGAGTTGGGAAAAATGAGCTGATGATCTATGCAATCTCTAGTAATCCAAATAGAAGGAAATGGGAATAAAGAGAAGTGATCACAAGAATAAGGTATTTGCATGAAAATTCCTGTTTGATGCTTTCAGTTTTACCATCTTTGAAAGAAAGTTTAAATTCAGACTGGCAAAATCCCTATTGTATCAGTCATTTGGGTCATCCTCCATCTGGCTCTTGATCCTGCTACTCCTATTTGAGTGTGAGGGCTACAGTGCTCGTCTGCTGCCTTAGAGCACAGTTTCCAGGGCAGATAACGCATCTCAGATTTGACACCAATTTGGGATGTGTTATTTAATGACTTTTGTCTAGAATACAAATAATTGTTACCCTGCCACATCCGCTGTGGTTCACAGAATAAAGAAAACCCAACTCAGACACACTATGAATAAGTCACCATTTTGTATGTCATGTTTCCCATGACATCCAAACTACTTATGGTATCAGTTTTGGAAGGCTGTATCGCGAAAACACTCCTGCAGACCCAGAAACTGCTCCCCAGAGTACCACCCACCCCTTGCTCCTCCTCCTCGGGACCAATAACAGCTTGACGATAGGACCATGTGTTCTTACGCATCTCCCAGGTAAATATTTGGCCAGACTTGGTCCACGTGATTATCAGAGCCTCCTCTGAACCAAAAGAGCCGCTGGAGGTCTGATAGCGCTGGTGTTTCATAGGAAGCTCTGCTCCCTGCGCTGCTACTCGGAGATGAAGAGTCTCTGGTGTGAGGCATCTTGCTCCTCTCTCACACGCACTAGGGCTGTATCAGAGACAGCTATTCTGAAATGAATTAAGAGAAAATTTTCATACAGAAATAATATTCCCTAGAAAGTAGTCCTGTTCATTACCCTCCAAATAGCAGTACATTATTATAACTGGTGTGTGGCAGGGCCTGCAGGTGTTGCTAAAAGCATCCAGAGAGCAGGACTGACTCTGTGGTAGGACTCTACAGGCATGTAATTCATCCCCTGAGAAAGCAGCAGCATAAGACGATATGATTTAATTTCTTGTCAAGTAACACTGTTGAAAAAGAACATCCCATGCCACCCGAATGCAGCAGTGGCTGAACCTTGTAGGTGCAGGTATTATTTCTGTTGCGATCGCACTAATGAGTGTATACAGGAAAGCTCCTGTACTTTGTGTTGGAGAGTTACCGAAGTGTTTGTGCACACTTGATTCTTGTTAGTTAAAACTGGAAGTCTTTGTAAGAATGAATTATTAGACTGACATACACTTACTAACCTTCTAGGGCCAAGTTGGAAATCTTAGGATGTGTATCTAAGACATATTCATATAGAGTATGTGTATACATATATAAAATGTGTGTACAATTTTCTCTCATTTATAGGGATGTATTTAAGCACATGTATATACATACACACATGTACACATATGAAAGAATTTTCACATGCATATATACCCATATATATGTATGTACGTATATAAATAGAAATGTAGAGAATTTGAACCAGTTTTTTTCTCTCTCTCAGGTGGATACCCCTGAACGCTCAGCTATACTGGTATACTTGCGTCTGTCTGTCTCAGTCTCTCCTCTGGGAGCTGTTCCACTTTGTATAAATAACGTGATAGCTATTTGCCTCCAGAGAGAGGCTGTTTCTCTCATCTGAGGGGTAGGGTACTTACCTGGGATGTAAGAAGAGAAGAGCATCTGAAATTTGGGAAATTACGGAGCTGAAAGGTCTGGCTCTGTTTCCCTGTTAAGAATCCCATCTAGGACTGGTTTGCTCCCTCACAGATCATGTGGTGGGATATGGGCATCCCTTTTGTAATGCTGTTTACTGGTTTAGACCCAGGAAGCTCAGTCCAGCCTGAAACAGAGCTCAGTCGAGAGCAAAAGTTCAAAGTTATCCAAGCAATCCCTTCTCTGAGACCTAAGGAGCATTTCTCCTGCCAGGATCTCATTATCCTGAATTGCTGTTCTCACCCCCAGAGAACGTTGATGAGCTTTGTTTGGTTGCTTGTTGTTATTAAAGCCATAATCAACATGGGAGCCATACTAGACCTCTTCCCAAAGTGGGGTGGCCTGTGTTTATTCTGATGTGGCATTAGCTTTCGCTGTAATGTCTGAATGCCTTAATCTAGAGTTCGGGTTTATTTGCTCAGCAATTCTAGAAAACAAGTGCAGATGGAACCTTTGGAAATAATCTAGTCCATCCCCTGCCCCGCAGCAGCAGCAGCCAGATGGATGTTGCTCCTAAAACAACAACAACAACTACGTCCAAACATCCAGGTACGTTCTTTGTAACAGTGTAGGCTGATTTGGGGTGTAAGCAGAAAGCAAGGGAGGATATCTTGCTGCTAATGGAAAGCGAAGTAGAGATGATGCAAGGCAAATTATTGAACACACCACATACATCTGTGACCTTAGCCTAAATTTGCTTCCCCTGCCCCCTTCTCCCTTCTCCTCCCCACAAATGTTAAGAACAGTTACAGCTTTTTGTATGTTCCAATAAAAGGGAAGTTTCCCTAGGGTAACTACTTAATAAGCAAAATATGGAAAGCATAATAAAAGTGATGGGAGAGATGGAAAAAAAGCTGACTGGTTTTTCCTTTTAGTGATGAAGGAGAAGAACTGCAGGGAAGTAGAGAGGAATATAGGGATAAAAACCCTACAAATTTCTCAGGGCATGTAACACCAAGAACTTTGGTAAAGGAGTATGTTGTGCAATCCCAGCACAGATTAGCATGAAGCACAGAAAAAAGATATTGTGCCTTGCCCTACAAGTTTTACTGCCTTGAGAAAGTCATGCACTGTGCTCAAGAGCTACTGCCAGCATCGTCATGATGACCTGTTTGTACTTTCACTGATACAGAACATTAAGCTGAAGCAGTAAAAGGAAATCAAGGAAAAGATAATACAGGTTCTACATCAGGAGGTTCATAAGACCACAGGCTCATTTTCAAGGAGCGTGGATGACTCTCAGTCACTGCAGATGTTTAAAAGCTGAAGTTGTGGAGGTCAGCAGATATATGTTAAACTTTCAGTTGTCCTAGCCCCCACTGCTTTAAACTTCTGTTGCAGCCTGTCATAGAATCATAGAACCATAGAATAGTTTGGCTTAGAAGGGACCTTTAAAGGTCATCTAGTCCAACCCCCCCTGCAATGAGCAGGGACATCTTCAACTCAGTCAGACTGCTGAAAGCCCCGTCCAACCTGACCTTGAATGTTTCCAAGGATGGGGCATCTACCGCCCCTCTGGCAAACCTGTTCCAGGGTTTCATCACCCTCATTGTAAAAAATTTCTTCCTTACATCTATTCTAAATCTACCTTATTTAGTTTAAAACCGTTACCCCTTGTCCTATCGCAACAGGCCCTGCTAAAAAGTTTGTCACCCATCTTGTAGGCCCCCTTTAAGTACTGAAAAGCCACAATAGGTCTCCCCGGAGCCTTCTCTTCTCCAGGCTGAACAACCCCAACTCACTCAGCCTGTCATCACAGGAGAGGTGTTCCATTCCTCTGATCATTTTTGCGTCCCTTCTCTGGACCTGCTCCAACAGGTCCGTGTCTTTCCTGTGTTGAGGGCTCCAGAGCTGGACGCAGTACTCCAGGTGGGGTCTCACTAGAGCAGAGGAGCAGAATCCCCTCCCTTGACCTGCTGGCCACGCTTCTTTTCGTGCAGCCCAGGATACAGTTGGCTTTCTGGGCGGTGAGTGCACATTGTCAGCTCATGTCCAGCTGTTCATCCAGCAGTACCCCCAGCTGTCAGCTAGTTAGAGTAATGGAGACGATTAGCAGAGAAAATTATATTGTGAGGTCTCTCGTTCAAGACCTGACTTTGAGGAAGTTCTCTTGGCCTCCAAGAATTGAATTGTTTTGGTGCTGGTGAAACTTAGCAGGCGACTCCAGCCTTAGCTCCTCACTGGCTGCAGTGCAACAGAGCTCCCTTTCATACAGCAATCCTCTTTCCAAAACGCGCGTCAACATTGTTTGCCTCACATGACTAATGCCAGACAAGTGAGCTCCTGGTGTCAACACGAAGCGTAGCTCCTCCCAAGCACACCGCTCTGTTCTGCACTGCACTGGCCTTGGAATTGTGTTGCTCTGTGGGGCCTTCAGGGTAAGCTTGGAAATAGCTATACCAGGTGATTGGACTAATGAGGAAAGTAATATGAATTTTTTAATTGAAGGCCAGGGACTTTGCTGAGGGTTCCCCCTCCTGCCCCCGCCTTCTACTTTAAGGTACTGCAAAGCTAGCAAATGTGCTGCCACTGATTACATTTCTCTAAGCTTCTCCCTCTGGGTGGCTCCTAGAAGCTTCTCTAGTTGAAACAGCCAGTGACGGCAGGAGCCCCTGTAATTGCGGAAAAAATTTCTACTCACAAGGTCAGTTACGTTTTCTGCAGAGGTCTAGACCATGCAAGTTGGGTAGGATTACTTTTCTTTTAAACTGTAGCCTGGAAGTACCTAAAGACCTTCTCATTAGATTGTTTCTTTCTATCTGTCTCTCTTTTTTTTTTTCCCTTTTTTTTTTTTTTTTAAGGTTAGAAACAAAACAGCAGCAACAAAAACCCCAAACTCTTCTACCTATAGGAGACATCTGAGATGGGATAGAGATGTTACGGGTTGTCCAGATGTAATAATCTCCCTACTTTCCATGGGAGAATACAAGGCAGCACAAGCTTTAAAACTGTTTTGTCGTTATGCATCAGCTCCCAAACACCCAGAGCACCCCAAATGGCCGGGACCTCCTTGGCTCCACATCTGAGCAGTGGAGCCTGCGTCACCTCTCTAGGTGCCACAGAGGCTTGGATTTCCCTGGTGGGCAGAAGCTGCAGGTGGCGATGGGAGCGGCATTGCCGGGCTGCGGGGAGTGCCCAGGAGGGGCTGCGGGTGGCTCCGCACCCTGCGCGCGGCTGAGTGCAGCTCCCGAGGGACTCGGTGGTTCCAGGACCTCGTCTGCAACAACCTAGTTGAGCTTTGTATCTCCCTGATACTGTCCGGCCACTTGAATACTATAGTCCGCAAGGCTTTTTTTTATATTTTCTTTTTTTTTTTTTTCTCTACACTGAAAACAATTGCCATTTTCTACTGATGATTTTTCTGGCAAAGAAAAGAAAAAAAAACACACAACCCCCACTGACTTGAATTGGCTAAAGCATTTAACAGATTTGTGTTGCATTTGCAGATTCCAGTGAAAGAAAACTCAGCAAAGTTCTGACAAAAGCTAACAGTTCGATATTGTAGATTTGAAATAGTTCATTTTGTTTAAAAAAAAAAAAAAAAGACCATGTGCATTTTTCTATTCAAAGTTAGTTTTGTTTTAGAATTTTACTTTAGCATTGCATAAAATCTTTTAAAATATTAAAACAAGATGAAGTGGCTTTTCCCTGGTTGAGGAAAAATGTTTTGTTTAACTAAAAATGAACACAGACTAACTGAGCAGCCACTTACTTACTTCGTCCTAATTTTCACTTCTGTAACAGGGAAAAGCCTCCTGCCATTTTGCCATGGTTGCTACCTCGTCTCCTAAACACTGAACTGAACTGCAGAGAGATTAAATGACTGTCTGAAGTCCCAGAAGGAGCCCGTGGCAGGGCATTACTTGGGCCCCAAGTCATCTGTCCTCTGTCCCTGTTGCTAGCACCTTCCTAGCTGCCACAGCTCTGCCTGTGGTTATGGTGGTGGCCCGCGTGGGGACAGGTGTCTTTCAATAACAGGGCCTTACATGAGATCATTGATAGCCTCAGGCACAGCAGGGCACTGATTTTGGCTGGACCTGTGGCTACTACCATAACACAAACACTAGATAACAATAAC